CCGGACTTATTACAAACCACTTTTTATTGTTCTGGGAGAAGGGGGTGTGTTGTCTTCTATTTAGTGCTGGTGTTCCTGTGTTGTTGACGTTTTGTAGTTGATTTGGTTGATTTTGGTTTTTTTTTCTATATTTTCTTTTTTTTTTATTTAAATTTTTTATATTTAATTTTTTTTTATTTAGATTTTTTTTTTTAATTATTTTTTTAATTTTTATTTATATTATTTAACACCAGTATTAATGTTTGGTGTGTATTTATTTTTTTTTTGTTATTGAAGTTTTATCTAATTTGTACACTTTTTATATATGTATGTAAATATGTTTGTATATCTTTTTTTTCACTTTTATTTTGTGTAGTCGTGTATGTACATAGATGTGAATATATGAATGTATTTATGTATATATTTTTTCCGTTTATATTTTTCCCGATATAATTTCAATTTGTATTTAAATCGAGTTTAAATAAAATATTTTTTTTTTTTAATTTTCTTTTTAACATCTGCATTTTTGTATGTGTACTGGCGAATTCACTTTTCCATTTACGGCACTTTGTTCCACCGTTATTGTTTTCCGTTTTGTCACTTGAGATATGTATGGTTTATGTACGTTCACCGCACAAAGAAAAAAGTGGTAAGTATAATTCAGGTATGTATAACTTTATTATGTACATATGTATGTATGTTTTATATACCTTTAAACTTATAAACTTTATTATGTACATATGTATGTATGTTTTATATACGTTCACCGCACAACTTTAAACTTATAAACTTTATTATGTACATATGTATACATATGTGAAGCGCTTTAATTTAACTTTTTCTTTTTTTTCTTTTGTTTTTTTTTCAGGAGTTAGGGATCACTTTCCGTATTGCCGGCACTATAATTAAAGGGTTTTTTTTCAATTTAAACACTTTTTAATTTAATGATTTTTTAATATTACCGCACGGGACAAAATTTCGCGACTTTCTTCTCTCGCTCTTAGTAAATCGGGGGGTTCGAGTGAATTTTCAACACATTTTTTTTTTTGCATAGCTCAGTCTTTTTTTTTAACCAGGTTTCGGCACCATGTAGAAACTTTCAAATTAAAAAACTTATTTATTTTATTTTTTATATTCAAAATTTCTTTTACACTTAATTAATTTGATAATTAAAGAAGTTGTTTACAGCGAGTGAATTAATATTTCTAACTTAATATTACCATTACATGCATATTCATATACATTATTATTTCACATAGTTATAGGAATAAGAGAAAACGGAACGGAGTAGGGTTGCTGGTAAGTATGTTTGGAATGGGAGTAAATTCAGTGAGGTGAGTATGCAGGTAAATATATAGGTAAGTATTCGGGTAAGTATTTAGGGGATAATTCATATTCATTTAATTAACATATTGTATTATTTTTTATGTTGTTTCGTAATTCATTTTTTACTCAAAAATTTTTTTTCTAAATAGTACTTATAGGATGATGAGGTCATCCTCACCCATGTTTTCAACAGACACAAACATCCGTCACCAGGCAATTCGTAAACAATCGAAGCATTATATTGATAAACACGACGAAGTCGAAGTTTTGGAAGCTTTGTCCTCAATGAACCTAAGCCGCGCTCCGGGTATAGACATTTTAACATCAGACATACAGTGGGTCACAGCATATTTGATATAACAGCCGATATAAATTTCGAAACCCAATATTTTCTAAACTGAAAGGAATATTGAAAGAGTTTAAACGCTACATAATAGATACTTTATTATATACTTTATTTATTTAAAACAACTTTTTATTTTCGAATATATGTTTATAAAATTAATCTTACTGCTAAATTTCAGGTCAAAGCTTATTTGATACTGTTCAATTCACTCTAAGACAACATAAACAAATCACTTTCAATCTTAAATTCTAACATTTTGTGTGAAAGACTTTCGCCTTAACAAGAGAATGGATCCTGGTTGGCATTGAATAGACCAACTTTGGTGTGGTTTCGGGGGTAATTTTCTGCCATTCCTCTTGTAGAGTATGGTACTGTAACCTCAAATGAGAAAATAGCCCTCATTTGTAGCATAATGAACCCTCAGATTTTTACCGACGGAAGCAAACTCGAACCCGATGAATGTTGTTGCGCAGCCATGCACCATGTCGATCTCCGTATCACACTCCTGACATTCAACTAAGAAAGTTGCCCCAATTAGTTTCTGTAACGCCGTACTTCGGGTAACCTTATAGCAAATCCGTATGTGAACCTTAACACATCTCCACTTTAAGGTATCGTATCACCTCCTTTCAAGTACGAACCCGTCTCTGCACGGTCATCAACATGCTACTACTTTCAAGATGCACCACATACACCTCCAAATACATTCACATCCATCATTCTCAGGTGTATCTGCGTCAACCTACCTCACTTAGTGTCAGGGGCGTCCAATGTACATGTCGAATACTGACCTGTTTTATTTGATGTACAGTGACGGGAACGTGTCCTTACTGCCGAGATGGTGGCCCCAACAAATGGAGGGACCTACAGTTTATACTAAGCCGCCTCCGAATGGCTGATGGTTTTTTTACGCAAAACCACAAATTGGATTACGAGTACGGCCGAAAATCGATTCAGAGCACCAAATAAATTTATATAAATATATATAACATTATGAGCTGCCCGCCTTTCGCATAGCTCAATTATCAACACCTAACTTGAGCGTGATTAAAATGAAAATGAATCAGCGGTTTATGTACGTTGCTAGCGCATATGTTGACCCTGTAGTTGATCAGTTCGATACATTAGTGCACATCAATATCTTCCTAAGACACACGTCTTTACAAGTACTCCGAGGTGTTCTCAATGGCTGGCGTATGCTCTGGGGATCTGAAAGTAATTATCAGCGTGGAAACGTTATCGCCAGCATCATAGCAGGCCATAATATGGCAATCTGCAATTCAGAAAGAACTCCAACGTTCAACGCAATTAGATACGGTGTGAATGCTAGCTCAAATGTAGATATAGTATATCGTTGACCGCATAAAATTGTACAATATGCAAAAATTAGCGAACTAGTCTGTTAAATAAACGCCATTCCGAATCATTGAGTCCATGAAAATGCGCGAAAGCTTTCAAGAATTCAATTCAGGTGTATAGAACTTCACCGCATGCTAAACACACTTAGAAAACTACGAATTGAGTGGCACAAGAGCATGCGTCTGCAAAGACAGAGTACGCAAGGGCATTAATAGATGCATCAATTAATAACTTCCGCGACTTTTGCACCAAACAAACAAAAGAACTTGGTCGCTCACAAATCAACTAATCAAGGATGCACCGCTGCAGCGGCCACCAATAACTCTTCAAAGAGAAGGAAATTTCACCGAAACAGGCGAAATAACTCCTTCAGCTCTTTTCAATCATTTTTACCCTAATCGCAATAACGACACAAACAACCGTCACCAGGCAATTCGTAAACAATCGAAGCATTATATTGATACACACGACGAAGTCGAAGTTTTGGAAGCTTTGTCCTCAATGAACCTAAACCGCGCTCCGGGTATAGACAACTTAACATCAGACATACAGTGGGTCACAGCATATTTGATACAGCAGCCGATATAAATTTCGAAACCCAATATTTTCTAAACTGAAAGGAATATTGAAAAAATTTAAACGCTACATTATAGAATAAGGAGTTTCATATTTGTGATATACTTTATTTATTTAAAACAACTTTTTATTTTTGAATATATGTTTGTAAAATTTATATTACTGCTAAATTTCAGGTCACAGCTTATTTGATACTGTTCAATTCACTCTAAGACAACATAAACAAATCACTTTCAATCTTAAGTTCTTACATTTTGTGTGAAAGACTTTCGCCTTAACAAGAGAATGGATCCTGGTTGGCATTGAATAGACCAACTTTTGTGTGGTTTTGGGGTAATTTTGTATCTCCTCCGCCGAAAACATTCAGTCAGCTTTTACTGGGTGAAAACTTAAGTCGGCATAACTGGTAATGAGTTCGCTGATCAATACGCAAAGAAATTTGCAAGCTCCAGCTTAGAAAGTGCATATGTACAAATACCAATCAGCTATAACATACAGCGGAAGCGTAACGGCGCGAATATCTTCAAAAGACAACTGGCTCTGCAATAAACAATATTTTTCGTTCTCCCGCTGACGCCAAGGTTTACACCCAAAATGTTGGAGAATCATTCTAAATAACGCATGTACTAAACGGGCGCGGGTTCCAAAAAGAGTTCCTCGTTACAAAATATCCAACGCTGACCTATGTCGCTGTTATCGATCAACAGCGCAAGCGATGACTACTTTGCCTAACATTTGTTGCTCCACCATTATCTATATGTGAACTAGTTAAAGCTGAAAACCTGATTACTTCTTTTGAAAAGCTTATCTGTAAAATTACAAATGCGCTCAAAATGTCAAACTCAGATTGCTAATTCAACGTATTTATTCAATGTATGCTACTTACTGATTCCATTTTATACAACCACACATATGCCTGTATCCATTCGCAGGCATTATTTTTCACAATCTATTGTAAAATCAAAAACATAAATTCTAAATGTTATGTAAAATCAACTAAGAAAGTTGCCCCAATTAGTTTCTGTAACGCCGTACTTCGGGTAACCTTATAGCAAATCCGTATGTGAACCTTAACACATCTCCCCTTTAAGGTATCGTATCACCTCCTTTCAAGTACGAACCCGTCTTTGCACGGTCATCAACATGCTACTACTTTCAAGATGCAGCACATCTACATTCACATCCATCACTCTCAGGTGTATCTGCGTCAACCTACCTCACTTAGTGTCAGGGGCGTCCAATGTACAGTGACGAGTACGTGTCCTTACTGCTACGACATGGTGGCCCGAATCGATGTTTGGTCCTCGGAGAGTAAGCTCGTCAAACATGTTTTACCTTGTTTGACACATAAGTAACTTCATGAATTTTTCTATGCTGGAATCTAGTAAAGTAGTTAAACAACAAAGAAAAATTGTAGGTTTTGTTGTATAACAAAAATATTCAACTCGCTTTACCTCATTATCATCTACATGACAATTGTATACCAACGCATAATTGCATTTTTTATATATATTTACATATGTATGTATTTGTATAAAATAGACAAACAAGATCTGAGTTTATATTGCGAAAGTGTATGTGTGATGATAACAGTATAACATATTTCTATGTGTACCTACTTAAAGAATATCAGCTTATCGATTTAATGGAGTACCGAAAAGAAAATCTCTTTAAATTTTATATTAATAGAAATATTTTTTTAATAAACTAAATTTCCTTAAGTTATTGCAACTGTTGCATTGTTGGTATTCTCCAATTCCCAGTTCACAAGTTCAGCGACAAATTTGCCTTAAAAATCGCTATAGGGCAAAGCACTAACAGCAGCTAAATCCTTTGGCTTGTAAGTGTAATAGTTTCCAGCGTCGAGAGTTTTATATCCTTCTCCGCACTCCGTCAAATAGTTGGCACTACTAGGTCTACTCAATCTCCAGCCACGTGCAGTATTATTGTAGTTTTGGCCATGCAGAAATTCGTTAGAACTGAAGTATTTCGTATTAGAAGTAGGGGTATAGGTATGTGCTCCTTCGTAGTGTTTGGGGAAACTACTCTGGTAAGATGAAGCAGATAATGATTCATTGCGACCTAGCCTGTCACCAGACGGAGAGGCTGTAAGATAACATGCTCGTTCCATATGATTTTGTACATCAATTTGAGAACGTTGGGGGCTATTTATACTGTTTTGAGTTTGTTGCTCTGCAGCATTTTCGAATTTGGCAATCTTCTCGTAAGGTAACGGAGATGGACTGTAGTTTATTTGAGGCTTGTTTTGTGAAGTCTCTTGCTGAACTATCTTATAGCTAGTTGTATCCAAGTACTGCTGCGTTTGTGGCGGTGTAGCAAATAAGTAACCTAAGTTGTTAGGATTTTCTAAGGAAAAACTGCCACCAATCGGAAGTGATGTCTTGACATTTTTCTGCTGCTCATTGTGCACAGCAGCTCTAGGTGTATAGCAATCCAATGATATGTCTTTGGGAAGATACAGCTCTGATCATTAAAAGAGAGCAAAGAAGTAAACATATAATTATTTTTTAAAGTTAAAACATTTTTAAGTACATGCAAAACATATTATTTACTACACACAAAATTGGTTAATAGCTTTTAAATCAAATAGAACGCAGTCTCTCGAACGGAAAGAAACGATTTAGGTACTATAAAAGAACGTCGTATGAGTTGAAAAATAACTTTCCCACACTTAAAGCATGTTTAAACGGAAAAGAGCATAAATAGGAAAAGCCAAAGGAACATTTTTACGGTCAGATTTTTAAATACATATATCTAATAGAGATCCTCCAATTTGTGGTTTTACGTCTTGATATTTTTTCCAACAAATGGAGGGACCTACAGTTTATACTAAGCCGCCTCCGAATGCCTGATGGTTTTTTTACGGCCGAAAATCGATTCAGAGGTTACAAAACACCAAATAAATTTATATATATATTGTATATAACATTATGAGCTGCCCGCCTTTCCCAGTTATAGGAATGTATAATTCATATCATGTCATATGCAAAAGAAGAAGTTTGCGAATTTCTGAGCTGTCAAATATTTCGGTGGTTATGAGTTGATAACTCCGGAATAGTCTCAACTTTGACTTTTCAATACAAAACTGCCCAAATATTTTAATTAATTTACGTTCTTACAAGAGAGACGAGGTACATTATTTGCGTAAATGAGAACGAGAAAAAAATCAACGCTGTCACAGGGAGAGAGGAACTATATAATTTGGAATACACGTACATAGCCTGAGTGAGGACTGCAACGGAAACAAAACACCTTAACTGGTCTTGAGATGGGTTTTTCTGCCCATATATATATGTATATTTGTATATACAAATAGATTCATGTGCGTTTTGATATGTAGCTTACCTGATCTTACTACACTTATATGTACATATACACATATGTATGTCCGCACGCTCGTACGTTTAAATAATTATTTGAATTGATTTTGAGTTGATTCGAAATTATATCTAAGTCTGCATGCTTACATTTATCTTGCATAGATTTTATAAATTTTACTCTTACTTTGCATGTATTTTCTCATTTTAGGTACAATCAAAGGGGGCCGGGGTAGACAAGATATGTTAGCATTGCGTACTAGCATTCGGTAGGCCAGGATTTGAGTCCTGGTCAGAACAAAATCCAAAAAATTAAAAAAAAACTATCGTTTGGGTCGCAGATTATGAATATGCTGTCTGATTTTCAAATTAGTAATAATTTATGGCAATTGGTATCTATGGGTGCTTGGGGTCGCAGATTATGAATCTGTTGTCTGATTTTCAAAACTCGAAATGGCGTATCCAAGGCGGTCAAAAATTTAAAAAGTATTTAATTTTTTAAAAAACTTGGTATTACGGGGTTTTTAAGGTCGCTTCAGATTTTTAAAGTTCAAAGTAGCGGATCCAATATGCATAAACGACTTGACCTAGCAAAATAATAATTGTTTAATTAGTGTAATGAGAAATGATCAGTTAATTAATTATTTTTTACATTCGATGAAGATATTTGTGAGTGTTCCTCCCTCACTATCATTTAGAATCGTCAATAAATTAAACGTTTTCTCATCCCCACTCTCTTCCGTGCCCTGAGCTGCAAATGATTTTTTTGGAGCAATTGAGCACCTTTTTATTATATATTTCACTCCTTATTTTATGAAATTACAATTTGTTCATATCATTTACTATTTATAAGAAATTAACAACAATCCAAAAAAACTCTACAGAGAAAAACGAAGAGTTTTTTGTATTTTTTTTGATATTCTCAGTATTTCACTCGTCAAAACAAAGCAATAATATCAATAGTGCTCTTATTCATTATTCTAATCTTATTCATTATCCTTGTGTCGATTGGATATTATTTGCGACTAGAAAATTAACAGAGAGAAAAACAAATTGGATAATGAGAAGGCAGACTGCGGTAGGCCAAATCCGCTCAGTAACATGGGGTTGTGAGAGCCGTAATGATAGTTCCAACTCTCAGTGACGAAAAACAGTTTGAAAAAGTGTCCCGAACAACCGGACTGAATGCTAATGCAATCATGTTGACCGTATGACCGTGAACAGAGAAAGATTTTTATATAGACCCTTAAGTGACGATTGGAATTTGTGGAAAAATAAAAAGTTAGTATAAATCGTTCTCGAACAATGAACTTTTTCTGACGTGATCAAGTTTGAAATATTAGGAAAGAAACAATTGCTAATGTTTGGAGGAGTCAGAACAAAAAATCGCTACGTCCGCTGAAAATCATTTTGGGGGTTCTGTGATAGTTTGTGGGTAGGAAATTTTAAAAATTTAAATTAAAATAAAAAAAATTTGTTTAGGGAGTAATTGAAATGTATAAGAAAAAGTTGTACACTTTTTTTTACGCTCACAGTATAACATATATAAAAATGAGTTTTTTTGTAATGTTGATTACAATAGCCAACTAAGTTGAAACTGCTGATACATTTTTAGAGGTTTTTGATTAGGATTAAGTGCAGATGTTTATATCAAATAATATATTACAGACACAAGATTTTGTTTGCTGCCGAACGATACAGATGTGCCTTAATAAGTAATTCCACGCTGCTTATCGTAACTTCTTTATATAAAAATCAATTAAATAAATTCCAAAAACGAAACGAAATAAAAGCAAAGTCAACTTTAAAATTCAATGTCAGTATACCTGAAGGTAAAACATTTGGCAAAAATTAACTTCTGCCCCAGTGAAGTTGCATGTTCTCTCCGGATATCAGTAATTAAAAACAAGTGAATTAGTCAGCGGGAGCAAGAGATTGATATTTGAAGGGAAAACGCAGCGATAACGACAATATGAAAAAGGACATTCTTAATTTAGTTAAAACATATATATATATATATCAGATTAACGAATAGTATTAGTATATCTAAATACTTAAATCAAAATTATAATGATATAATATAATCATATAGCCATATTGTTGAAATGTTTGTTTGTTTTAGTGTTTCTAATCTTTGCACTCTTCGTATTCGTATGTACACATAATTTTTATATTGCGTTTTGAACGTATATTCTAAAAAAAGGAAAGAAAAAAAGCAACTAACACAGGATGTAGTGGCCGCTAATGATCATTAGCACAGCGGCTCAGCTTAGCCAGCGGTTCTCTAAAGAAGAAGAAGATCAGAATGCTGGATACACATTTTTTCTAGTTTACTGCGTTATTCGGCATTGAAAGCGTGTAGTTAAAGTATTTTCTTATATTATTAATAATAAATATTATTTGAAGAAATAAATGTTTAAGTAAGGAAGCGAAAGTTTAAAGTGCCCAAGAGAAATTTATTATGAAATCTTAATAGTTTAAGATACTAAACATTAAAGTAGAACCGTGTTGAGAAAATAATAATAATGACGGTAGAAAAAAATTTATTTTTTTCCTAATATTAATTAAATACTAATTTCTAAAAGTATACAACAACAGCAGCAGACGACGAGACTAATCGAAGGCCTTCGAAGCAGCATCTAAGTATATACGTATGTAAGTAAAACTATCAAATTTTAATATCTCTCTCTCTTGAACCAGTGGTCTGAAATTGGTTGTTTTGTTGATAGGTCAAAAGGGGTTTCTTTTACAACAATGAAACCATTGGTAGGGTGGGCTCGGAGCAGCACACAAATGGTGGTAAGGATATAAGCGGAACCGGACGTTAACTATAAAATATTGCATGGATAGGTTAGTGGGATGTTGATAGAGAAGGAATACCATAACAAAAAAAATTGCGCCCAACGTGGGGCCCGCGAAGTCGTAGAATACGTGAAGATGCGGTCATTACCTATTGGGTTCATATGAAGGATCCTTGGTATAATGTCAGTCTGCTCGAGAAAGAAATACTGCGTTAAAACTTTGGAATTTAGCCTATGGTCATTACTTACGAAATTTTTTTTCTCAGTTTATTTTCTCCTCCTATTTTTCTATTTAGTTTAATTTTTTCTCAATGGAATTCTAAATTATAACTTGGAATTTTTACTAGCTTAAGCTTAATGCTTTGCTGTATACCATTATATTACTAGAGTTTCATCATATTTTGTTTTTTTACGCTGTCTACTTTCTGATATGTAGGAATGTTGGTTTGACATGACTTATAGGTTTATCGGCCAAACCGCGTTTTGGTTGGTAGATTAAATACATGTAAAGTTTTTCCAATTTTGTTTAGAAGTCTTTCAATTATGTACCTAAATTTAATTTAAATTTGTAATATTTTAATGTTTAAGGAATATTAATCATTTTTTCGTATATTTAAATCAACCCTTAACATTGCATTGCCGAAAATTCCTAAATTTCCTAACCAGAACCCAAGCAAATGCTAAAAAGTTTTATCATCAGCGAACACAGCCGAAAGTAAGACCACAACTATTGTACAAAACACTTATTAAACTTTGATTAAGCTACGGATTCATATTTTTTTTTATTAGTGTTGAAGACATGAGTGTCGATCTCATAGAGTTCTGAAAGAAAAATTTAAATTAAATAAATATATATATATATATAAGAAATTTTATACTCACCTTGAATTGTTTACCCTAATCTGAAATACTCACCCTTTATCCACTGGAATACGTACCTTAATTTCCAATTCCTGTAAAGCAAAGAAAATTGAAGGAAAACCGATAAACGAAATTTCCCCTCCTTTCCCGTTAATGTAAAACTAAGCTAAGTACTTTGTTATAAATAATAAGCTTACAGTATTTTTAAGTT